TTAAGTCATTATTATGAGAAAGTTTCTCATTATTACGAGATACTATGTCATTATTTCGAGAAAGTTTCTCATTATTACGAGATACCAAGTCATTATTTCGAGAAAGTTTCTCATTATTATGACTTACAGAATTATATTTTTTTATTTAGTGGCGGAAACGGGCTTCCATAGTATGCACAACCACCCTATAATGATAAAAATCCACCCAGGGCTTTTTTTTTTAAATCCCCAAAAATTGTAAGCACTGTCTCAGATCAAGCCATTTAAAGATTCTTGGCCCCTCCCACGACTATTGACCACCAACACTGCCATTTTAGCATTGACCCGCCCCGAGTGAGCTGCAAACAGTCCGCTTTTGTGTAAATTGTTTTGATGCCGTAGCAGGTGTAGACAAGAATGTCTCCCAAGCGATTGAGGTCTTTTGTTGTTGGATGTAATAATGAACAGCCATCATCATTTACTCCCGACATCTGAGCCACTGAATACACAGTGGATTGTTTTTGAAGGTAATGCGCCCCTGATCTACCTAAATTTGTTTGTTCGTGCGAATCATTCGTGATCCAGCTTCTCCAACAGAAGCTTTTTTATATATATATCTTTTTCTACCTAAATTTATATCAATTTCTTTGCAAATCACCTTTCCTAATAATGTGCTAGTTAGCAAGTTCCACGACGAATGTGGCTAAAGTTTACAGTCTCTTGAGAATGGCTCTTCACCTCACGGAAAAGAGGGGCGGAGTGAGCAGAGCTCATTAGCATTTAAAGGGACATGCGCCGAAACGGCTCGGTGTGAACAGAGCTGTTTTTGACAAGTTAAAAAGGGTGTTGTTCTACACTACCATTGAGAAATTTTAACCAAAGTATGTTGTAGACTTTTCATGAAGCCCTAAAGAATCATACCAACTTGTGGAAAATGGGCATCTGATGTCCCCAAATGTTTTTGAGCAACAAATCCACGTATTAGAATGATTTCTGAAGGGTCATGTGACACTGACGACTGACAACTCATGAATAAATTCATTTTAAAATTCACTAAAATTGAAAAAGGTTATTTTGTATTTAATAATATTTCACAGTATTACTGTTTTTACTGTATTTTTTATCAAATAAATGCAACCTTGGTGAGCATAAGATACTT